CTTCCAAAATAATAGGTCTAATGGAATTAGTCTTTTTCTTAATTAGACCATTTATTATTTTATAAGCTTGTTAAATACGTAAGTTGATATTTAAAAAAATAAAGTTAACAACCCTATAAGGTAAAGGATGAATTAAAAAAATTATTATAATTGATTAATTGAGAGGTACAACTGAAAGTATAACTAAAAAATACCAAAAAAGATTTTATTAACATAATTAATATTTTAGGAGGAATCAAGTGGATAAAAGTGGCTACTAAAAAAATCATCTGTAACTTGTTACTTAAATTTATCATGAGCTATTAATAGCTATAACAGTATTTTTCTAAAAGACAACTACTTCTAATTAATATACTTAATAGATTGACATTAAAAGCTGCAAAATACTTATAATTAATACTGAAATAATGTTATAAATATTTTTTTTGTAAGGGGGATTATATGAGGTACTAACACCCATCCACTTACACTGATTTACCGGTCAGCCGGTATAGCTATACCGGCTGACCTAAAATATAAATATAAGGAACTAAAAAAATAATTGAAATAAAAATAATGGTAGCACAGTGGGGTCACAGCACAGTGTGAGTGTGGCATAGTTGGGACTAGTATAGATGATATTTGACAGTGATAAAAATCACTATCATAAGAAACGCTTCGATGCAAATCTGTAGATTTTGTTTAATTTTAAGAAATTGGTGGATTATTCTAAAGCAAAATTCTAACTCAAAAAAATTAAGGAAAAATTGGCAATATAACATGATTCAAATGTTAAAATTAATTTTTTCGGCTTAAAAGGAAAAAAAACACATCATAAAACTAATACCTTCTCAGCTTCGCATCGAAGCTAAAAATTGAAATAAGTTTAACTTTATGTTATATGTCAATTAGTATTATATAATATTCATGTTAATTAATGTACCCCATTGTAAGTTATATTAAAATAAATTTAAATACAAAACCCAAAATTTTAACACAAACATATTTTTGAATATGATAACAATGTTCACTATATCTCGTTAATTTTTTTTTTTTCATAACATATTATATTACATAAGTTTTAATTTAATATTAAATATAAGTATCAATATTTCCTGAAAATTTAAAAAAATTGAGTTGAAAAAGTTTAACTAATAAAATCTGAAATCATAAATTTGAACACTAAAATTTCATGTTTTTTAACTACGGCAACCATTTAGCTCATTGGCTCATAAAAGATATGTTGTCGGGAACATTTTTTTTTTACTTATAGTGCATAACATTATCTTTATTTTAACACATATTTGAAGTTTGGAGTATTTCCGGGACATTTTTAAAACATAAGTTGAAAAGTAAAATTTTTGTGCAAAAGTTTTGATTTCTCTCTGTGAGCAGATTAAGGGTCTGATTTTCAAAAAATTGATATCAAATGAAAGAAAAAAATATAAAAGGTTACAAAATAAAAAAAATTATTTTAAATTATTAATATTTCAAAAAGTTATGGCAGTTTTATGTATTAAAATATTTCATGTTAAACTGTGATTTTTGAATAAACATTACATTTTTCGATAAATTGGATAGTCATTTTCCCATAGAAGATAAGGTGTCGGAATAAATTGTTTTTTTAACTTATAGTATTTATCATGAGCTTAAATTTGACATATATTTCAAGCTCGGAGTATTTTTAAAAATTTAAACCCCCTCTGCATAAAGGAAAATGGTCCGATTTAAAAAAAAAGTGTGGCGGATGAAAGGTAAATATATAATTTATTTAGAAACGGAAATTTGTATTTATTCATACATTTGCAAAGAGTTATAAAAATTTAAAGTTGAAAAAATATAATATGAAATCGTAAATTTTAACACCAAAATTACATGTTTATAACCACGGCAACCAATTTCACATAAGTCGTTGGGAAAATTTTTTTTTGTTTTAACTTATAGTACATAACATTAACTTTATTTTAGCATATAATTAAATTTGGAGTATCCCCGAACATTTTGTAAACTTAAGTTGAAAAATTTAAATTATTGTACAGAAGTTTTGAATCCCCCCTGTGGCCAAATAAAGGGTAAGATTTTCAAAAAATTTATATCAAATAAAAGGAAAATATCTAAGGTTTCAATTGAGAAAAAAATTATTTTAATTTGTTCATTTTTCAAAATATTATGACAACTTTCAGAAAAAAATATTGAAATTTACCAAAGTTGGGTAATTTAGAGGCCCGTTTCGCTGCGCTACAATGTCGGTGTGATCGGGCTCTATGGGGCTACGAAATGTTAGCACGTGCGCAGTTTCCCTAGCTCGGGAAATCGGGCGCGTCCTCAGGTTGTGGATAGAGAAACGGCCTGCAGATATGCAGGTTAGCCACGAAATAAGCAGTCCATTCATTTGGACTGACGAATAAGCGGTCGCGGACAGTGAGCCGCCCAAACGCTTGTTAACCCTGTAGATATACAAAGCCGTGAAATAAGCCTTTATGGACGAATAAGCGGTAGCGTTTGGGTGAAAACGGAGAATTATGGCAACGCAACCAGTGAAGTTAGCCGCTCACTGGCCGGAAGGACTGGCTATGAGGGCAACCCCCTCAAATCATATATATTTATGAAATGGCAACAAACGGAGTTAAAGTTACTGCATCAGGGGATTCGGATGCCCCAGTGCCGGCGGTTGGTGAGGGTGTACCCACCAGGTGTCGTTATCAAACGAATACACGCCAAATGCAGGAGTGTTGAGGCAGGCTCCTGCAGCCAACCACGGGGTTGGTACTGCGACTGCAGGGAGTGGTGGTGACCAAGCCATTTCCACCGGTGAAATAACCGGGAGGGTATTGGCATCAGATTGCTTGGACAACGAAACGGACTTGATAACGGCCACCTCCTCAGATACGTCAGCAAAACCTTCCATATTGGTGAGATTGTGGAGCGAATCTAGGGGTGGTTCGGCTAGGGTTGGACCTTCGGGTCCAACCATGGGGGTGAAGGCAGCTGAGCTGGGGAAGGATGATTCCTTGCGTCCCAAACGCAAGGAGATCTCCCCAACGATCAGCCCTCCACCATCATATTGGAGGACACCCCGCCCGACGCGGTTGTGCCCATGCCGGCGACTCCTCTGCTGGCAACCATATAAGTTATACCAATAAGTTATTGGTGTCTAGTTATATTTGGATGTTATGGGCAATAACATCTACAGATGTAACTAAAGGGAGAAAATAGGATGACTTGTGTCTCTTAAGTTACCTCAGCTGGCTAACAAGATATATATTTATAATATTTAAAAAGTTATATTGATAATATATTCAACAAATATTTCGAGTTAAATATTTTATATTTATTCTCATTAATATATTTTCATAATATTTACAAGCAAATATTTAAAAAGATATTTTTTTAAGTACATTGTAGAAATATTTTCAGTGTAATATATTGTATTTATTCTCTTTAATATATTCTCAAAATATACATAAAAAAATATTTAAAAAATTATTTTGTGAGTATATTATGAAAATATTTCAATAGAATATATTTTTTATTATATTTATGAGATATTGTCACAATATTTGCTTTAAAATATTTTAAAAAGTATTTTGTAAGAATATTTTGACAATATTAATATATTGAAATTGCTATGTGGGTTATGGTATGTAATATAACTTTTAATTTTACATATATTTAAAGGACGCAGTATTTCCGGAACATTTTTAAAAGTTAAGTTAAAATGTTAACTTTTCATCTAAAAAAATGCTATTTGGAATGTCTACCGTGGGCAGGTAAAGGGACATAACTAATTTGTTTATATAAAATAATCATTTTGATTCGTTTGTATTTAAAAAATTGTTGACAGAATTTTTATAACGCACCCTTAGAATACAAACGGCATAACTCAAAAAATGTCGATTTTGAGTGATTATCATTGCTGAAACCACGGGATAAATATTCACTTTAATGACTAATTAAAAAAAAAAAGTCGAAATATCAAAATCTTTAATTGCATTTTCTCAGTAATCACTATTTCTGAGTTATGCCGATTGTATTCTAGGGGTGTGATAAAATGTCAAAATTTACTGATTATATTGAGTTATTATACAAAAAAAAAATATGCTTTTTGTGAGTAATTTTTTAAATACTAAATAATAAATAACAATAGATTTAGACTAAATTTCATTAATTTGTTATTGATTTTTGTTGTAATATACTCATCACTATTGTGATATGAAATAACAGTAAGCTACTCGTGCGCACAATAATAGTTTTGCATTTAATCTTTTCATTTAAGATTATTATCATTTTTATTTATAAATTATATTGATATGCTTAGAATAACATGATTTTTTTTCTTTAAAAAAATCATAAACTATACTTGTCAGCCCTTTTTACTCTTATTTTAATAATAAAACACAATGTGTAAAACCCTATATATATATAAACTATATTAACGTCATATAAATCATCAGAGTGATTTGTATATTGTTCGAATGTATTAATTTATATATTTGATGTTATTTATACATTAATTTATATATTTTATGATTACATGTCATTAAAATAATAAAATTGCAAGAATTTGACAATGGTGATTATTCAGAGATACCAAATACTATAAAAGGCAGTCATCCTGAGGGCTTAAGAGAGTCTGTCTCCAGATACTCAAGGCTCTGTTCCTATCGCACTCTCAACATAATTTATAATCATCATTGTCGAATTTCTCAAGTGTTAAAGGTGCAAACTTGAATTGATTTGTTTTTAATTATTAATTAATATTATTAATAAAGACATTGTAAGAAATAGGAAAATTATCAGGTAAGATTTTAAAAGTCAATAAGAATCTAAATTTATGTCATTTTATAATCCTTGAATAACACCCCGAAGTAAAGTAACTCCTTTCTTTTACTCACCTCACTCACATAGATATTACCCCCTTTGTGGTATTTTGAGTAACGATATTTTGCACAAATTGTATATATAATTTCTATCACATTTATAGAAATTTCTAATAGTTTCAAATAGGTAATATATATTACCTATTTTATCCTTTTTTAAATGTGTAAGTACACAATTGTACATTGTATATTTGGCATGTACAACAATGTCTTCATATAATGGGGATAGACTTGTGCTTGAAGAAAATATTGCCTGAAAGTAATAAAAATGTTTTTTTTAGATATATAGAAAACACTGATTTTTATGCCTACGTTAGGAATCAAAAAATATTTATATTTTCTATGCAATACTATCAGCCATAACATTAATAACTCCGTAAATTTTATAAAATTAAGATTTATATAACCTATTTTCAATATAAAAATTTACGTAAAAACTTGTTTTTCATACAATATGCTCATTAAAAAAAAAATAATAAAATTTTCACGATTATTACATTCTACGTTAAATTTAATATATGTATAATATATGAGGGATTATATTAAACGGTAGCTAATTGTTATTACAACTTTGCTCTTTACAAATACACAGCGTTTATTGTCAATTATGACTTTATCCTGTACAGAGACACATACTCACAGGGGCAAATTTAGCATTTAGGAATGAATTTTAGTGTAGACTGCACTGTTTTGTGCTCGCGTAGTTTTGTTGTATAAGCCCTTTGTGTATTTGTCGGCCGATGATAACAGAATGTTATAAGTATCTCAGTGATTGTACAGATAAGTTAGACTTTTGTAATAGTATATATTAGTAGTAGTGAAATATTAGTAACATTATTACTATGCAGTTTTTGCTTTATTTCCATTTTCATTCTAAAATGTTTACTATCTACGATATAAACCCTTTGACTTCAACAATCCTTTATACTTTATAAAACTGTAAACTTTATTTTTCAAATAACAACAAAAATAATTAGCTAGATTATTTAATAGATAATGATCTAATTAAGAAAATACTGATCGATAACTACTTTTGTACGAGTATTTACAGAAAGTCACTAACATATTACAGTAATGGCTGAAGATGAGACACGGATGTTGTCAGATATTTTTATGAATATTCTCGTACTGCTTAGGTAAAAATATGTTAATTACTTCTAAAATACTGGTCCAAAAGTTGTTATCAATCAATTGTTATCTTAATTAGATTATAATCTATTAGTAAGCTAGTAAAAAATTTACTATCAATTTAATTTAAAATTATTATTTTAAAAACGATAACAGGCATAATATTGATGACACCCTAATAAGATAGAAGAAATGAACATAAAAAATACTTTATGATTGATAAATTGAGAAAAACACAACAAAATTTAATGACAAAAAAAAAAATTCTCAACATTATTTTAATTTTTTTTATTAATTAAATGGTTTATAACAAATGGATAACCAGTATAATTTTATTAACACTTTTGTATTTATATTTATTCAAATATTTTTTAACTTATTAATGCCACAAAAGTTCATTAGTTTCAATAAATACAACGAGGGAGTGCCTAGGATCCCTTTTCCTCCCAAAAGAATTGGAAATGTGTTTGTGACCTATATTAAATAATCATTTCAATTACAAAAAATTGGAGAAAAATTCGAATTCTACAAACACGTTACAATTTTCAATATAATTAATAGCGTTAAATTTTAATCTTGATATGCTAGGTCTTAGTTGTACTGAGTATTTACTATTTTAAAATTATGTTTTGATCACATAACAAAGATGTGGCGGTCGAATGTTCTAGAATGTACGGCCGCCGCCGCCTCTAGAAGATTCCTCTAACTAGTTAAGGGCAAGATCGTCGCTCCAGTCAATCAATCGATCAGTCAATCACTTACGCATTCTGTCTTAAAACGCGCTTCGTCTCTCGCTGTTATTTGTTAGTTTGTTGTAATATAGTGTAGTTGTTATTAAACCGTAAAAGTGTTTATTACTTCTATATATTACACCTCGCTACATTGGTGACCTCGACGATAACAAGTATGAACGCCAAAGAACTACGCAATCAATTGGAGGATTTACGCCAATAAAACGCTCGCCTTGCAGCACTACAGGCACAGCAATATCCAACAGCTTCAGTGAATCGCGTTGCCGTCAAGTTGCCACCTTTCTGGTCCGAAAGACCGAGCTTATGGTTCTCACAGGTTGACTCGCAGTTTGCAATCTCGGGAATAACAAGTGAGGAAACAAAATTTAATTATGTTGTGGCTCAGCTTGATACGCGTTACGCCGCCGAAGTAGAGGATATTNTGCCGAAGTAGAGGATATTATAACTAACCCACCGCCTACTGAACGCTACAAACATCTACGCGCGAAACTCGTTGAACGGTTGTCTATCTCAAAAGAACAACGTGTGCGGCAACTCATCAATGAAGAAGAACTAGGTCACCGTAAGCCATCACAGTTCTTACGACATCTCCGTTCCCTTGCCGGCACTACTACATTACAAGACAATATTTTACGTCAACTTTGGCTCCGCCGTCTACCATCACATGCACAAGCTATTTTAACCGCACAATCAGAGCTTCCTCTGGATAAGGTAGCCGAGCTGGCTGACAAAATTGTTGAAGTGCAGCCAGCCCCCTCGCAATTCGTCCATGCTGTTGCCACGACGAACAATAAAAATGAACTCGATGTTTTATCTGCCATTGAAGCACTCACAAAACAGGTAAGCGAATTATGTGCTAAACGCCCGCAACGCTCCCGCTTTAGGTCACGTAACCGTTCAAACGTGGAACTGACTAACGGCAAAGGATGGTGTTGGTATCATAGCACTTATGGAGAAAAGGCTGCCAAATGTAAGGCTCCCTGCAAGTATCAGGAAAACTCCAACGACAGTCAGTAGCGGCGGCAACAGACTGTCCGAACCCGAGCAGCCGCCTGTTTGTTACAGATCAAATAACAAAACGCCAATTTTTAGTCGACTCCGGTTCCGACTTATCTTGTTACCCTCAACGGCTACTACGGGAACGACGCCATGCCACCGATTACGACCTCAGCGCGGCCAACAACAGTACCATAAAAACTTACGGGACGGTCCATCTCAATTTGAATTTAGGACTTCGACGCAGTTTCCCGTGGAGTTTTATTGTCGCCGACGTGAGTACTCCTATCATTGGTTCCGACTTCATGGCATACTACCACTTGCTGCCGGATTGCCGTACCAAACGTCTTATTGATGGTGTCACAGGCTTGGCTGTGAATGGTAAGGTTTCCTCTGTAAATCAATGCAGCATAAAATCAGTTGCCAACACTTCCCCTTGGACTGCACTTCTCGCAGAATTTCCGGACATCACACGTCCCACCGGATTGCCCGGGACAATAAAACATCAAACGGTGCACCACATTCTTACGACACCTGGTCAGCCAATAGCCTGCCGCCCACGCCTCTTAGCTCCAGGTAGACTAAAAATCGCCAAACAGGAATTCGCGGAAATGGTCAAGGCAGGTACCGCTAGACCTTCAAGCAGTCCGTGGTCTTCACCATTACATTTAGCACCGAAAGGGGAGAACAGCTGGCGTCCTTGCGGTGATTACCGAGCGCTGAATGCCCGAACTATACCAGACTCCTATCCAGTCAGACACATACATGATTTCTCGCACAACCTGGCTAATTGCACGCTATTTTCCACAATCGATCTGGTAAAGGCTTACCATCAAATACCTGTTAATCCGGACGATATATGCAAAACNTCTGTTAATCCGGACGATATGTGCAAAAATGCCATTACCACTCCATTCGGACTTTACGAATTTCCTTTTATGACATTCGGATTGCGAAATGCTGGACAAACTTTTCAACGCTTCATAGACGAAGTTACCAATGGGTTGGACTTCTGTTATGCATATATTGATGACATTTTGGTATTCTCTAAATCGGAAGAGGACCACAAACAGCATTTACGCACTCTTTTCGGGAGACTTTCTGACTACGGTGTTGTCGTTAACCCGCAAAAATGTGTATTAGGTTCGGCTGAGGTGAAATTTCTAGGTTACCTAGTATCTTCTGAAGGCACCCGCCCGCCACCGGAACGCGTCGAAGCCCTACGACAGTATCCATTGCCAAAATCTATGCAAGGATTACGCCGGTTTTTGGGAATGGTAAATTTTTATCGCCGGTTTATTCCCAAAGCTGCCGACCTGCAAGCACCACTTCACGGTATTCTCAAAGGCCCGAAGACAAAAGGTTCCCAACCGATAGAATGGACTCCCGAGTTAGAAAAAGCGTTCACCACATGCAAAGAAAGTCTTGCGACCGCTACTCTTTTAGCACATCCTCATCCAGCCGCACGACTTGGACTATTCACAGACGCATCTAGCCAATCTATCGGCGCATGTCTGCAGCAGCGAGTCAATAACATCTGGCAACGCATAGCATTTTTTTCAAAGAAAATGTCGGTGAAACAAAGTGCGTGGCCTGCGTATTATCGTGAGTTGCTTGCCATCTATGAATCGGTGAAGTATTTCAGGCACATTGTCGAAGCACAACCATGTACCATTTTCACCGATCATAAGCCACTCGTATATGCTTTCACCCAACGGAGAGAAAAGATACCTCCTACGCAACTCAACCAGTTGACATTCATATCCGAATTCACCACCGACATTCAACACATTAAAGGTGATGAAAATATCGTCGCGGATACAATGTCACGCATTGAAGTTGTGTCTCTCCCGCTGGACTACCGAGCTCTTGCTGCATCTCAAGACACGGATGATGAACTCAAACATTTTACTGACAACAATTCATCTCTTCATTTGGAGAAGGTACTAGTGCCAGGATCTTCAGCCTATATTTATTGCGACACGTCAACGGGACGCCCACGACCATTTTTGCCACAACGATTCCGGCGTCACGCATTTGATCAGTTACACAACCTTAGTCACCCCGGTGCACGCGCAACAGCTCACTTAGTTTCAGAACGATTTGTGTGGCCAGCAATGAAAAAGGATTGCCGTTCCTGGGCACGTGCCTGCGTCCACTGTCAGCGATCGAAAATAAGCCGACACGTCTCAGCCCCACTGGGAAACTTTGAAACACCTTCACGCCGATTCAAACATGTTCATGTCGATATCATCGGTCCATTGCCGCCATCACAGTCCTTTAGGTACTGTCTGACGGTAATCGACCGTTTCACCCGTTGGCCGGAGGTGTATCCACTCGAACGTATAACAGCAGATGATGTCACTAAGGGTTTCCT